TTGTGCAGGAAGCACAATCACTAAAATATCGTTAATGTGAGTGGTATTATTGCCTCCTTTGTGCTTTTTAAGAGACTGTATTTATTGAAACAACAGTAAGAAAGGAGGTTGTCTAGAGTAATATGTTAACATTTAAATGGAACTTTAAATAATTAAATATTTAAGATTAAAGCTCTGGAATTGTGCATTGCTTTTTCTAGACCTTTTCCTTTTAAGAACAGTGCTCATACATCGTTCTTCTCTCTTGCTTGCTTAGTCCTTGCCTCTCTTTGCTGTGCATGCATATGCTGTCAAGCCACAGAAATGTTACGAGTTTTGAGGAGCAGCGGTGCATTCCCAGGAACAATCTGTGGGGTGTCACTGGTTAAAGTACAGTATGAAAACAAAGCCTGTGAAACCTGTGAACACTGAATTCAAAGACACAACAGTGGCATGCACTTTGCTTGGTCTACCTGCATGTACCAGAGCTGAGTGGTTGTTTTTTTTTTTCAATTCAGTCATTTTCCTGAGTAAGAGTAATGCAGAAATGTATCCAATTGTTGATGTGGAAGAGAGGATTCCTTTAGTTGGTGACATCTGTTTCTAATGAGGAAAACTGAATCATCGGGAGTGACACTGCTCCCTGGGGGGGGTTTCCAGCCAAAGGTGAGGACGTGCCACTACGAACAAAGCGTGGCCCAGAGAATAGGCTCTGCTGGACCTGCTGGTGTTTGATGGAATCGGGTGATTCATACAACGTGATTCATACAACAGTAGCATAAGTTGACTGCTTTGTATTTCAATGCCCTTATAACCAGATTGAAATACAGTGAGGAAGTGTTTAATTTTCACATAGCTTCATTGTTTCTCTGTACACAAGATACTTAGAGAAGTTATTTTTTAACATTATTTATGTGCCTCAGTACTTTCACGTTTCTTTGTGGGACTTTTGTAGCTCTTTTTGTGAGAAACCACCAATATTGGTATTTTATTGAGATATTCTTGATGTTTCTCTGTCTGCTTTAAGTCTGAAAACATCACTTCCAAATGCTAATGCTACTGAGACCATTTCCAGCCCTTGGAAACTGCCTTAAGCCTTTACTGCTTTCTGTGGTTCCTTATTAGGGTATTAAATACTTTTACAAAGTGTCAGACTTGTATAGTCTCAGATGGAAAGAAAGAGGCCTCATTTGACAAATCAGGAGGGCTATTCTGCTTGTAGGGATGGTTGCAAAGGTCACTCTGAAGAGATTGTTTAAAAATGTTGTTTAATATCCTTATATGGAAGCAGTCTTTGTACATTTTTCATGGTGTTTTCTTTGTGCTAGTTCCTATTAAGAAGCTCCCGGTTTGCCTGTTCCTAACAGTTTACTTCTTGCATCCTGACAGGAACAAAGGAAATGACCCATTTTCCTTCCCCTCTCTTTCTCTCTCACTGGAATACTTTTCTCAGCAGAAGGCGGTAGGATGGCGTGTCCCAGGCCTCTGCGTTTGTAGAGGAGGCAACAGTAACTGAGCTTAGTGGTTGTCTGCTCCCTTTGATTGCCCCACAGCATGTTGTTTAGGATGGGAATTTGTTGTGATCTGAAATCACAGAATCTCAGACCGTTAGGGATTGGAAGGGACCTCAAAAGCTCATCCAGTCCAATCCCCCTGCCGGAGCAGGAACACCCAGATGAGGTTACACAGGAAGGCGTCCAGGCGGGTTTTGAATGTCTGCAGAGAAGGAGACTCCACAACCTCTCTGGGCAGCCTGGTCCAGGGCTCTGTCACCCTCACTGAGAAGAAGTTTCTTCTCCAATTTCAGTGGAACCTCCTGTGTTCCAGTTTGTGTCCGTTACCCCTTGTCCTATCATTGTTTGTCACCGAGAAGAGCCTGGCTCCATCCTCGTGACACTCACCCTTAAAATATTTATAAACAAGAATGAGGTCTCCCCTCAGTCTCCTCTTCTGCAAACTAAAGAGCCCCAGCTCCCTCAGCCGCTCCTCGTAAGGGAGATGCTCCACTCCCTTGATCATCTTTGTAGCCCTACGCTGGACTCCCTTTGTTACGTTATCCACTGTTCAAAAACGGATTTGAACTTTCCTATCCTGTAGCGTGGTGTCTCCTTTCTCTGCTAGGCCTGCTAAATGGGGCCCACAGTGATTTACAATTAAAGTTTCACTGCTTTTTGCAAGTTAATGCAATTGTCCTACCTGTTCCTTTCTCTTTGAAATATTTTGCATGTGCTGCTTTACTTATCTCGTAATAATTGAAGTAGTCTTTTGAAAATCTAAAGAAAACAGCACGGCTTGCTCTGCTTTCCCTTAGGTTGTGGTTTTTGTTTGTTTAAGTTTTATTATGGAAAATGAATGAAAAAATGAAACATTACAATTTCAAGATGTGAGGCCACCCAGAGTGTTGTTAGACACTAAACTTCACGTTATTTTAACGTTTGACCTGGTTGTGTGCAGATGGACTTCAGGGTTTCAGCAGCCCTTGATGTGTGGTGTGGTCTGGTCCACTGACAAGTTACCACTTGTGAACAACGCTGTAAGGGCTGTGGTTATTGGGTGCTGTAAGAAGCTGCAACATATGATCTTTTGCTAATTCTAAGGTTTTGATTTGCAACAATGTGTTAAAGCTTCAGGAAGACGGCTCATGGTCATCTGAGGAAGTTGGCTGAATAATTTGCTGGGAAACCTCATGAGGGCAGTATTATGAATTGCAAAATGTGTTGAGGCTGAATAACAGGATCCATATGAACCTCAGTGCTTATTTAGGTGTTGTGGAACAGCAGCTTTATGTTTTTGTTTTGTTTGGTGTGTTTGTTTGTTTTTTTAACTTTTAGTCAGTGTGTTTATTCTAACAACACAGGGAGAAATCACTACCTGGATGCTTGCTGAACACAGACATTTAGGCCTGCACTGCAGTCATGATGTGATCAGAGCAGCTGTCCTGTAGCTTTGGCTACAGTAACTTTTTGGTCAGAGTAAGACACGAGGTGAATATGGCTTGTCTGGTAGGAAACAAGCTTTGTGAGTTACGTTTGTGGAACAATTTATTGCAAATTTTGCTTGTTATGAAATGACAGATCAATTGTGAAGCCAGATGTGTCATAATCAGTGGACAATTTTGACTCTTCTGCTTTTTAATCGAGTAGCTTGGGTAATGCTACAATGGATGTGACTGTACTGTCAGTGTAAAGCAGAAGTAATTGGAGAATTTGCCATAAATATTTAAATCTGTATTGTTCCCCCTTCTCACCTTTAACTGTAGGCAGCTGCTCTGGATAGCTTCTTATCTGGCATTGCTGTGAGGAATGGGTCAGAAGGGCTATCTCCATTAACACTCAGGCAGTGACTATGAACTTTTCTAAACTCTTGAATTGTGCTACTGGTTCTGTAGTCAAAGATGACAACAGAGGTCTCCAAATGTAGAAACAAGATGTGGACAGAGCAATGATTTACATCTGGCAGTGAGGCTGCAGCTCTCTCGGGATCTGTGATGCTGCTTGGCTGGAGGCTGGAATGAGCCTGTGCATATTGGTCAAAGGAAAATAAGCTCTGTTTTTTCAAAACCGTTCTTAATGGATGTTTCCCAGGCTGTTTTGAGGAATACCCAATTAGTGGCAGTCATAAGACAGTTAGGATCAGGACCTCCCTACTTTCTGGGCAATGGATGTATTAGGCTTTCATTAGCAAGCAAATAAACTGATTATGGGAGAAAAATAGTTGGAGAAAAAAAACTAACTTTCCTTCCTTCCAGGGTGGCTGGTGTCTACACAGCTGCCAGGGTTTGAAGTGCCTGCCTCAGGACAGATGAAATGCCACATAGGCCGAAGACATGTTTTCTTTAAAACTGCAAGTTGCAATTATGCTCACTTTGACTTTTCCTTTAGTCCAAAGCTTATTATTTCTCTGCTAGGATTTGACTATCAAACCGCCAGCGTCAGAAACTGGACTGTATCCTGCTAGAGTGACTCCAGCTAAGCAACAGGAAAGCGTTTCTGCCTGAACACACAGGTGCCCGCATAGGTCACTTCCCCGCTTTCCCAGGCCAAGAGCTGCGTTGTCAACAAACCAAGCTGTGAAATGCTCCTGCCACTTCTGCCTTTCCTGTCACTGCTCAGTGGCCGCTTGAAATAAAAGGGCCTCGCTCTTGCCGTGATAACCAATCTATAGCACAACTAACATCCTTGAGTAAAAAGATAAGGGCTTGCCAAAACTCAGCTGTTCCAGGTGTCTGAAACTGAAGAACAGGTCTTTCTGATAGTCCTTCAGATCAGGGTGAATTTTCATGTCCAGCCTGGGTTAGCCAAGTGCCAAGGTTCTACAACATTTGGTGTAGTGTTCACATTCGGTAATAGTGCTTCGGAGTGATTGAAAAGAATGTTACAAGCTTTAGCTGGAGATCTCATGTGTGTCCTGTTCTTGGGAGAATTTTTGTATGTGGTCATAATTCCAACAAATAATTTTTCGGACGGTGAGATTACATTCACCTGTTTGTAAGGCGTCTTTAAGAAACAGAGTTTGTAAGTGGAAAGGGTAAAAATGGAAGGGAAAAGGACCTCCTTATGGTGTTCTGTGTAGGGGTTAGGAACAGAAAGTATTAGAATTTCAGTTTTCATTAGCTGGTTACAGCATTGGGGAACTTGAAAGAAAAATTACATGAGGAACACCGTGCATACCCTGCATTATCTTTCAGTAGATCTTTTTCCTTCTTTAAAGACAGGATGGATGAAAGATCTTTAAGGATACTACATCTTATTATTTTAAGTTTTAAAGAAATCTTTCTGTTTTAAAGCTTCTGAGCATTTAGATGAAGTAACCTGGTGTTGGTAATCCTGTGTAATTTCTTCTCTTGGAATGGCTTCACAGAAGCAGCCGTTTTGATTATGGCTTTTGTATTCTGATAATTTGAGTGTGTGACATTTCATTCTAGTAGAATAAAATGTGATTATTATATGCAATTGATTAGCTCAAAATTAAATTGAATGTAATCTTCAAGTCAGCTAACATGCACTGTGAATTTTATTTTCCAGTGTCTGAAACTTGGAGTGGAGTGACGAAACATGTCTCAGTCAGGTGAAAAAGTAAAGGTAAAGAGATGGCTGCAGAGCCAAAACTTTATTTTTAATGTATTCAACTTCTGAAAATCCTTGTAGTTTTACTCAAGTGGCAAAATAGTGAATACACGATACCTTATTGCTTCAGATGCATTTCTTAAAAGGAACTGTTTACTAGAAACAGAGCCTGCATGTGATTCTAGTACTGGGCTTTTGGATGTTTGCCTTTCAGTGTTTGCTTACACGTTTAGAGTGGTGCCTTTACCTAAGGAAATGTCACTTGACAGACCTTCATTTGTAATGTTTTTGCCCATCTGAGAGGGTTTTAAAAGGGTTGTTAGCAAATAACTAATTGCCTTTTAAGTGATTTCCCCTGTATGCCTCCCTGCCCCACTGGAAGGATGGCATTGTATGAAAACTGTTCTCATGGTGAGCTCCTCTGTGAAGAAAACATTTGGTTCCAGGTAGTTCATAGGTCCCTAAACCAAATGGCTGCAGTTCTTGTTTAGGCTCCTATTACATTTTCAGTCAGTTGATAACAGATGGTGAAGCAGACTTGACCTTTTTATAGCCCACATCTCTTTGAAAAGTTTTCAAGGCACATTTCTTTTTCCTGCTTTTGTGTTAGAAGTTGAAGATTGTTAAGATAGGTGAACAGCTTCACAAGCAGAAGTTAAATCTCTGTGTGGCTGTATCTTGGTAATCTCTGCATTACTATACAGTGTTCTTCTTTTCCTATGTGTGAGTGTGTGCATTATTTATTTTTATAGAAGATAGCTGCAGAATTTACTAAACTTGAACATATATTTTTGACCTTTAACTTCAAACCTTTGGTATTTTTAGCTATGTTTACAGTTTAAGATTAATAACAGTGGGTTCTTGCAAGCTTGCAGATTTATTTTTTTTTTAAATCTAAGGAGAGACTTGGTTTGTGTGTAGCCCAAATTACCAGATTTCTGTTTGTATTACACTGCTTGGTAAATGGGCCTGTTTCAAGGTCTGGCTTGCTATAGCAGCAAAAAATGGTTTCATTCTCTATTTTCCCATGTGCTTTATATACCTGAATGTATTAACTATATACCTGAATGTATTAACTGAATTCTGTTTCAACTTTTTAGGGGGAAGGAGATGTCATTTCTACTCAACTTTTTTGTTTTCTTGGCAGTTCTCAGACTCGGCAGGCTATGTGGGATTCGCTAATCTGCCCAACCAGGTTCACAGGAAATCTGTGAAGAAGGGCTTTGAATTCACACTGATGGTGGTTGGTAAGTGACTTGTTGAAGTGTTTTTGACTGTTAAACAACAAAAGGTTTCTTTCACATAGATATCTATGTCTTCCTACTTAGCAGTTGACACACAGAAGAAAAAGATTTCTAGACTCTCTCGAAATAAATCTTTTAAAATTCTGTCATGTTTGGTAGGAGGGAGTATTTGTAGTGATTAAAGATGATGACTTTGAGCCAACAGGACATTCTTGCACTCCTGACTCATCATCAGGTGGTAGGGATAGTTGCTTAATCTTTCTTTGACTTCCATTTCCCCAGCTGAAAGCATGAATGCACACTGTGAATATCTTGCTGGTGAAACAGTGATGCTGTTGTTGTGTTTTCTGCTGTTCTGTACTGACTCACTGTGGTATTATAACAAAAATCCTCATTTGCCTGCTCTGTGAGTGAGCACCTGTAGGAGTCTTTGATGCAAAGTCCTTTAGGCATAAAGCTGTTTTAAGTGATGTGTTGAATTCTGCTTGCGTTGAATCAGTGCAGAGGTGACACTACTGTCGCCTTTTTCTGCTCGTTACCTTGGCATTACAAGTTATTGAAAAATGAAACCTAGAAGAGATGCATAGCAATTCTTTCATACTCTCTGTGCTCTGTAGTGCCATTTGGGATTATTTTGTTACAGAGCATTCAGCAATGTGTGTAAAATAACTCAGTAATGTGCAGTAAGTGTAGTTCTTTATTTCATGTAGTTTGTGATGATGAATACAGATAACTTCTTTATTTCTAAGTTTAGGGCAGTGGCATCTAAAAGGACACGGTCAGTTTTTCTAAATGCTGACTTCTTTGGGTTAGGAAAACAGCGACTTTTGAAATTCAGATTTAGTAATTGCATTTACGGGTTTAACTTTGTTACTTTGATGTAGGGCAAAATTTGTATGACCTGAAGTTCTAGAATTGTGGAATTTTGAATAGTTTTCTTACGATTTTCTGTTTCATGTTTCACAGGATGTATGTAGCCTAACTATAAGGGTGCAAAGCTCAGTTGTTAGTTTATTTATTCTCCCTCGTAATAGTGTTCCAGGTTCAATTTCTAGCTTAGGAAAACCTTAAAGCTCTTGGAAATTTTCAACAAGAGAGTTACATCTCCTAATTTTCTAAGTTTAAGTGAAGAAAAGCTTTTATTTCCCAGAAGTAACCTAACTATCTCTAGATCTATAGTCAGTACTGTATGAACTTTCCGCTTTTATTATGAAATCTACCACAGTGAACTTAGCATTTTCATGTAACGTTTATAAAAACACCAGAGGCTTGATTTTCCTTTGTTTTTGAAGTGCTTAGCTGAACCTTTGATGTTTTTATCTCAAAAACTAGGGTGGATCCTAATGAACAAATTATTTTTCCTCCATAATATGGGTCTGGGGAAAGAGGAGGTGCTTTAAAAGGCCTGGAGTAAAAGGTGTATATGCAAAATAACCTGAATTATTTTGTTTGTAGGTGAGTCTGGCTTGGGAAAATCCACTTTAATTAACAGTTTGTTCCTGACTGATCTTTATCCAGAACGTTACATTCCTGGAGCTGCAGGTAAATGTGGGTTTGCAGTTCCTCCAGCACATACCCTGTGAAATGTCATGGTTTTTCAGTTAACATTGCTCCATTCTGATGATAACTTCACCTATGAGACCCTTTTGTCACATTGTCTAGATGTATTTTCATACTCCATTTTTTTCAGCTGTCATTTTCTTATTTCCTTTCAAAGACTCAGCTTTTGTTATTTCTAATTCAATTGTTATTTAAACCCCCTCCAACCTTGTAGACATCGGTATACCTAAATGTGGTTTTGCTCTGATCTGCATTTCCTCTAATATTTTTTTCCCTTAAATCCTAGTTAGAGAACACAGAATCCCAGACCGTTAGGGATTGGAAGGGACCTCCAAAGCTCATCCAGTCCAATCCCCCTGTCGGAGCAGGAACACCCAGATGAGGTTACACAGGAAGGCGTCCAGGCGGGTTTTGAATGTCTGCAGAGAAGGAGACTCCACAGCCTCTCTGGGCAGCCTGGGCCAGGGCTCTGTCACCCTCACTGAGAAGAAGTTTCTTCTCCAATTGAAGTGGAACCTCCTGTGTTCCAGTTTGTGTCCGTTACCCCTTGTCTTATCATTGTTTGTCACCGAGAAGAGCCTGGCTCCATCCTCATGATACTCACCCTTGAAATATTTATAAACATGAATGAGGTCTCCCCTCAGTCTCCTCTTCTGCAAACTAAAGAGACCCAGCTCCCTCAGCCGCTCCTCATCAGGGAGATGCTCCACTCCCTTCATCATCTTTGTAGCCCTACGCTGGACTCTCTCCAGCAGTTCCTGTCCTTCTTGAACTGAGGGGCCCAGAACTGGACGCAATATTCCAGATGTGGTCTCACCAGGGCAGAGTAGAGGGGAAGGAGAACCTCTCTGCCCTACAACCACCCCCCTCCTGATACACCCCAGGATGGCATTGGCCTTCTTGGCCACAAGGGCACAGTGCTGGCTCATGGTCATCCTGCTGGCCACCAGGACCCCCAGGTCCCTGGGAGATGTAGATAACCTTTTGACAAAGCATCTAGCATGCTTCTGAGTATTGTAATTTTACTTTTGCTTACTGCCATGTGTAAGTCCCCTTTTTCGAGTCTATTGTTTGTTTATTTACAAAAATGTGGTGGCTTATTTACAGAATTTTGACTAGTTAGCTTGTTTTTTCTTTAAACTATTTTATGTCACGTAGGTTACAATATGCTTCAGATTGCATTTCCTCCTCTGCTGCGGGGGTTTCTGTAGCAATTGGCAGGCATAATAACAGTCAAAACGTTCCTTTTTTGTAGAGAAAATAGAGAGAACAGTTCAAATCGAAGCTTCTACAGTAGAGATAGAGGAGCGAGGGGTAAAGCTGCGTTTAACAGTAGTTGACACACCAGGATATGGAGATGCCATTAACAGCCAGGACTGGTGAGTGTGTAAATACTGCTTTGCTAGGTGGGGTTTGTATCTTACACAAACACTGCTCTAGCGTGTCTGTCGTTCTGAACCTAAGTGGTTTAAGGTACTAAAAGGAAGCAGTGGGTTCATTATTATTAACATTAATGTGGTGTTATCTTGAATTCGTGGTAGAGGGTCTTTTCTGAGTCCTTGCAGTTAAGCACAATTTTCTAAGCCCGTTTGCATTCCAGGTGCCCCTCTTGATATTGTCAGTAAGATGGTAATTTGGTTTGTGTGAGCTTTCAAATCAAGGTTCTTTTATAAGTTTTGTTGCCTAAAATACACATCTCTAGTTAAACTGTAGTACTTTGTACAGCTTCCTGTTTCAATTTCCTAACCACTTTTGATGTTTTTAAAAGGTTTGGTTAGTGTTCTCTGGGCTGATTCTCCCTGAAAATTAATGGCCTTTCCTCCAGTAAGGTTCTCTGTGACAACGGCGGTCAACTTCTTGTCTCCGTAGCTGCTCTGACAGGGCAGAATTCTGCTGAAGGGAAATTTTGTGTTTGTCTTTCTGTGTCTCTGGCCCGTCCAGTTTCCGTCTTTTTAAGACACTACTTTTCATTCCCTGTCCTTTATATGCACTACTAGCAATTTGGATACAACTGCAGTTTTTTAATGATGGAGTCAGGTGTCACCGTGCAAAGGGAGCATAAAGCATACTTGTTGATTTGAGTTCTTCAGTGTAAGGTAAAGATCAGGAAGGAGGCAAATGGCTGGTAAGATCAACAGCTACGATGCTAATAGAATGTTTTGTAACCTTTTCTTGACACAACACACTTGTCTGGAGCATTCTGAAGCACGTTATCAGACTTTTTTTTCTGTGTACACAGCAAAAATGAAGAGAGTGACATTATATCGCATACTAAATGAAAGTTTGAAAGTGAAGCTGTAGTGGGGTTTTTATTTTTATTCTCCTCCCACTTTTCCTACTTTAATAAGTTGAAAAAAAATTGAACTTTTAAAATAACATTAAGGCATCTTTCTGGATTGCAGCATGGCCTTGCTTATTTTGTGCACTGTTGACTAGAGCTTCCTTCCGCTGGAGCTGAGAGCTCTGCAGCCTGTGTATTGTGTTACATAGAGCTCTTCCTGTTGATTGTGTTCTAATGCCCTTTGTTTATTCTGCTAAGATGTTTCTTGGAGACCTACGTGGTCTGATTTTTCCCCTTTCTTTTTGGAGCCTTGCTAAATAGTCATTCCATGATGATTCAGGTCCAGTAGAACAATTTACTGGTTTATGCTTTAGTTTTCTGTGACAAATCTTAAACGTCAAAATACATGATGGGAACAAATAGTGCTTACGTGCTACAAAACAAAAAGATGCAGTTAATTTTAATTGTCTGTCTCTAGTCCCATTTTCTTACGTCACATGAAAAGACTTTGAGCTGTGACAAGTGTCATTTTGGCTAAGTCTGTAAGTCGTTACAGGATGTCAGAGGGACTTGAATAGATAGACTCCTTGTTTCAAACTGTAGTCAAGACTCAGCCAGTGCAACTGCCTGCCTGCCTTGTTAGTTCAGAAGGACCAGCAGGTTCGCGTTCTTGAACTTGCATTTGTGATCAGGAGCATTTACTGCAATGATGGGTACCTGGTAGATGGTGCTGATCTCGATCCAAGATGAGTTTTACTAAGGTTGTTTCTGAACAGTGGTAAATCAGACTGGCACTGTGTTTCTAGGAGGCAGCGGTCGCTGGTCCTGTTTCAAATATCTTTCTCCTGAGTAGGTTTCGTAATGGCTTTTGGTTTCTGTCTTTGCGTTGATGAAAGGGATTAAGTTTAGAGTTTGACTTTCAAGGATGGGAGCTGGGGTAAATTTTTATATAGTTCCTGTCACAGAAGAAGTGCTAATAAGGATTGTGTGTTGTCAGGAGTTTGTCCAGTTGGTCTCCTGGATTGGAGAATAACAACATTGAACTGGGAAATGTTATTAGAGAATGTGCTGCACTAAATCTATGAAGTAAATGACTTTTTGTTTCTGTACTTAGCCTGTAAGAGAAGGTAGATGCTAACCACAGTTAACCATAGAGATAATTCTTTAGATTCTGTGTGAAGCTTCAGTGCTAGCTGGAGCTCTGTATTCTAGAGTCAAACTACGCCTGGGAATGCTCTTGGTATCAGTTTAGGTGTGTGTTTGGAGAATAGCAGAATTCTTCATGGTGGGAGGTTTAAAGCACAGAATGGCTCTTCCACACTTGAGGGCATAGGGATCATGAGAGAAGCACGTACTTAAAGTAACATCTTTCGTCAGGCAGAAGAGAAACTGTTTGAGGAGGAGAGGGGAACAAATCGCTTCGTGCACAGGTTTGGGATCAAATCTGGCCTCAGAAGGATGGGTGACTAAAACAGGTTACAAATTAACTTGCTAAATGCTGCTAATCAGGTGCATCCTTTCATCTTGGTTGCAGTGTTGCAGGTTATTCTTTGATAACTGTTCTCTGGCTGCTGCTAACTTTCCTTTTTACTGGCTTGTGTTAAGTTGTATTTTGTGCTTTTTGGCAGCTTGGTAATATTTTTAATTTTCTCCCAATGGGCTTAAATGCAGCGGTTGTGTTGTTTGCTGTTACAATACAGGATGTGCTATCTCCTAAGTAATGATAGCGCAGTGGTATAAGCCAGGTGTTTCCCGGAAGTCAGAAGGTACAGGACACTAATGCCATATTTATAGGGAAAATTATAGCTGTTAGAGCTAGAAACTGCACGTAAACTAATTGCATTGCCAGAGAAATGTGTGATAGTTGCTTTCCCATTGTTTGTGCTTGGTTTCTGTCCTAATATTTGTACGTCTTCCGTCTTGTTACCTTTCACCAGAGGAGAGTATCTACGATCAACAGGAACATAAACCATGTTGTCCTTTTTAAACACTTTTAGGTACTAAGATGCTGGTTCTTAAAGTTGAGCAGCACCGAGGTCAAAACCCAATAGATTCCATTATTTGCTGTGTCGTCTTCTGCAGTAGAACTTAGAACGGTACAAATCTGGCAAATATATTAACGTGTATTAATGTGTATATTCTACTATGGATTTATTCCTCCCAGATCCAAGAGCTTACTCACCTTTGGAAAATCAAATTCCCTCCAGGATTTCTTCTGTCATTCGTGTTACTTTCTTTCATTGTCCTCATTACAGCCACGCAGCCCAGGGTTGAACTTCGCTGTGTGTCACAGTATTTGCTGTCGTTCTGTGTGTTTGTTTTCCAGATTACCAATTCTTTTTTTGTATTCTCTTGTCTATTTCCTCCTCAAATTTCTCCGGTCAAATTTGCACTTTCTCAACAACAGAAGTACTATTTTTCAAGTTAAACTTTCCGCTCGGTTTTTCCCCAAGCAGTTTAAGATATGTTCATAACACACAGTCATCTGCCTAATCTTATCTTCATCGATGTGTTCATTTCCCTTCCTCTGCAGTACTTAATATAAAGTGTCCTTTTATATTAATGTTATTTGCAGGTGTCTACATGCTCTGGAATATCTTAAAACAATCTTCTTAATAATGCATTCCCTTTATCTTTTCTCTCTCTGGCCACTGTTCTCTGTATCTGATTAATTTATATGATCCGATTTTGTGCTCCTTTGCAGGGCATATTTTAAATTGCCTTGAACTAAGTAGGACTTATTTTTCTTTGCCAACAGAAAAGGATTCTGTAAGGTAACAAAAATAGCTTAATAAATCATGTGATGCTTTAGTGCATGACTTGCAAATGTATTTGTACTTAATTCAGACAGACTAGAATACCAGAATTGTCATTGGTAACTGCAGAAACCTAGCTCTAGGGTCAGGGTTGGAAATCAAGAGGATGTCCGGGATATGCCATTTGTCAACTGTTTCAAAAACAAATCCTCACCCCCTACCCCCAGAAAAAAGCTGAAAAATCCTCAGTCTTCTGTTCCTGTCTGTGTTGTCTCAGCACCGAGTGCTTTTTTTCTGAGCTTGCACTTGAACTTTTTGTCCAGTGGGCAGAATAACACTTGAAAGTAGCTCTAGGCATGAAGAGACACTTGGTGATTGCTATGAAAATACCTCTTTTCATTATCAAAATACTTCTCAGTAGTAGATACAACACTAGGAAGTTGAATTTTTGTAACAGAAATGTTCTTAAAAGTGTGATTGTCCTCCTTCTGTTCTTACCTCTTCATAATTCTTTTTTTATTATTGTAAAACTGATCTAAGATGCCTCTCTTTCTCCTCCCCTGCTCTCCTTACCACAGCTTCAAAACAATTATCCAGTACATTGACAACCAGTTTGAAAGGTACCTTCATGATGAGAGTGGTCTAAACAGGCGCCACATTATAGACAACCGGGTCCACTGCTGTTTTTACTTCATCTCTCCCTTTGGGCATGGGTAAGAAAAAGCTTCTGAGCTCTTGTATTTTAGGGCCTTATATTGTATTCCTAAGTCTGTTCATTGCTTGAAGTGGAAACTTAACGTTCATGTTAATTGAGTTAGTTCTTACACTGCCAGTTAGCCAATGCAATTAAAATGTTTTTGGGGGATTAATGCACTCCTCTGCTTTGTCTCCTTTTTGGCATTTAATATTGTTTTGAAGCAGTCAGTGTTACGTTGTTTATCACCCAGAAGCATAAGAACTTGTATGATCCAGTGTATCTTATAGTGATGATTTTAATTGCAATTCATCCTTTACACAACCAAGCCGATAAGCAAGTGTTCTGACTTAATTTATTCTAGAAATACCAGTTATGTAGATACTTGAAATAAACAACTTTAATATGTTGGGTTTGTAAAAACAAAAAAACCACCACCACCAGAAAGAACAACAAAAAAACCCCACCTCTTTTTTTTCCCATTTTTTTTTTCTACTTGTTGGCAGGCTGAAACCGTTAGATGTAGAATTCATGAAGGCTCTTCATGGAAAAGTCAACATTGTCCCTGTGATTGCCAAGGCTGACACGCTGACGCTGAAGGAGAGAGAAAGGCTGAAGAGAAGAGTAGGTCTAACACTTGATCATGAGAACAGTGCAACCCATACAGTGTTAAAACCAAATAAAAAGTAAATTCAGGGGTGAATGATATTGGCCAATGACCTAACCTTCAGCAAGTGTGAGGTGGGGAATCTTCAGTGAAGTCTGATATGCTTTGCCAGTTACACTTGCTGAGGATCTGGCCATTCTTGGCTTCATCTGTCTTAGCAAGGAGTGCACCCCAATAGAGCATGAATTGAGCAAAACGCTATGTAATGAGGTTCATATAATCCTGAAATGCATGTGGTGTGGGTGTCTCAGTGGACTGAATACCTGTTAGTGGTGGGAGGCATTAGATGTGTTCTGAGAGTACATGTTTAGATTTAGTTTAATCCAAAAGAAACTTGATTTGCGTACTCTAACTGTGCTGCGTGGTTTGTAGCAAAATGTGGTTAAGCTGGGGTTACTGGAAACTCCTTTAATAAGTGCACCCATGCTAAAAACTGAAACCCATGATACAAACCAAAACACTAATGTAGAGGCAGGACAGTTGGGCTAATATGGAATAGAATAATCTGGCCAGTTAATGTAAACATTTAATCTGTACTGGTTTGTCCTCTTAGATTCAGAATGACTTCATGCACCTTGGTAAAGACAGGAATGGGAAGGTGGTGAGATTGTATTATGCTGAGAGGTGGTTCAGTAAAAGTTGTTGACATCACAAGCTTTTTTGGGTTCTATTGACTCAAACCCAGTACATTCATTTGTAAATCTAACAGATTTGAACCCTACAAAGCCTGAGAATTTTTACAGGTTTAATAACTTATGCCTTGAGTAGTACAGAAATAATTAGTACTTCTAAAATGCAGCCTATACTTTGTATCAGAGTGTGCAATTTTTTTCATAGTAAGATTATATCTTATTTTTTTATATTCTATCTTAATATCATTTTATACTCCCACTTTTTGATTTTCATAGAGGGATGACAGATGTTTTGACTGTGATGCTCTGACTTCCAGTAGTCCTTTAGAATGGTTATTACATCTTTCTTCCAAGGACTTCTGTGTAGGGGTGTTTTTCTGTTTTCGTGAAGAGGGAGTACGCTTTATTTAACTGGGAAATAGTAAAGTTAAAATAATGCTAACAGAACACATTAGCTGAATTCAACCTACACTCAGAGGATTTGTGTAGGGGGTTTTTTTGAGTGTATCAGTGCCACAGTCAAAGGTGTAATCGTGGTTTGTGTAGGCATGTAAGCACCTACAATTTGGCAAGGGACTGCTGGCATTGCTGTCATGTTTGTATAAAGCTCAGTGAGGTAAGAAAGCTTGCCCAAGAAATGAAGTAAATCCTCTGTGTCTGGGTAATTTTAAAGTGGAGACAGTTGTGATTGTATGAACCTTGTCCACAATGTAGACATAAATTCACTGAAGGCAGGGAGAGGTATACAGAAGTGACAAGCTTTATGACAAACTAGGTGAAAGGAGGAAAAAAACTAATAATAAAACGTCATCTTTGAGTTAAACAGGGTCTCTAGATCTTGCTGGGAGAAATTCTGTGCAGGCTGATAAGCCTTTATTTTGTTCCTCCACAAATGGTAGGAGGAGATGAAAGGTACTGTGGGCACATTGAAAGAGCTCATAGGGAGGTAACAAAGCAGAGATGTGGCTGCTTATGCTGGGTTTATCACTTCTCTTTTTCTGTGGCTGTACTGACTTAGTGAAAGACTTTTATCTGATAGTAATACTGTTTGTGGAGCTGCTCTTTTTCATACAGAAAATGTCTGATCTTTCAGCAGTGTACTGCATGCTCAGTTTTCATAGGTACTTACTTTTTGGTTCAGCATTTGCTAGCAGGATAATGTTGAAAGATTTGAAGCGGGCATTTAAGTGGAACATTAATTATATCACCATATAATTCACTGGGAATCTGAACGTTCTGCTTTGTCAGTTCAAATACATAAACTGGTATAAAATAGGTTCTAGCTACAGTCGTCTTTCACCAAAGCAGTTCTTAGGTGAAATGAAGAGGAACACAGTCTTAGCAGGTTTCAATACTTGCTGTGATTGTTCTGGGACTCTTCTGTGCTCCTTTTATCTGCTACTTGGTTGCCTCTCTTAAGGTCAAGCATAGTACAGTGCTCATGCTGGTGGACATTCACTCCTGTGTATTGTTAACACCAGATTTTAGCTGAAACATGGCAGCAGCGCAAGCAAACTTTATTTCCCAATGTGAATGTGTAACTCCTTATTTTTCAGTACAGTTCTCTAATAAGTGATGTTAGGCTGAGGGTTTGTGATGCACGTTTATTGTGAAGGATGGAGACGGATCCCAGCTAACATATCCCGCAATTAACAGATTAATTTAAAGGCAATCTCTCTGGACCATATTCAGTGCTACTCCTTGTCTTGCTCTTTCTGGTTCGAGCAAAGTTACTTTTAACTAACTAGTCTTTAAAACAGTCTTGACTTATGTATATAGACACCAGATGTATGCATTGGCTAGATAGAACGAGATGGATGGCACTTACGCTGTGGTCTGAAGGAGTGGTTAGGAAACAGGTAAACAAGTCTTCGTTCTTTTGTACTGCTGGTAAAGGCCACTCTACAAACGGAATTTATACTAAGTCAAGTGTATAATGCGGTTCCAAAGCTTTGAAGGTCCAGCTACTGTATATTGTTCTAACTCAAAGCATCTTGGCTAACAGAATCTCTAATCAAGAGTAGGAATCAAAATCCTCCTTTGCTGACGCAGCTTGAAGTCTGATTTTTTTCAGATGTTACTGCCATTTGGCCATCAATCTAAAGGAAAATGTTTTTTGTTTTGCCGCTTTGGACTAAGCAGCAAGATCAGTTTGTGGCGCTTGCAAAGGAAACCCAGCTTGGAGTAATTCCTGTTTGGTCTTGCTGGAATTCAAAGTTATTTTTTAAAACTCTTGAGTGGGAAGAAATGCTCGGCAGTTTCACAAGCTGTGCCATGCAAGGCTGCTAAGGAAACCTGCTCAAAAGAATGACTTCATGAGAGGGGAACTAATATTTTTACTTTTTTTTTAATTTCCCATGGGAAGGCTAATCTGTAGGAACACAGAATCCGCCGAGGCCAATAAAATTCAGATTTGAAGAAGCAAAATGCTGTTTCATTGTTAGGACCATAAAATACAGTTTGTTTTTATTGCAATTCTTTTTCCTTTCAGGAAAGCACTAGATTTAACAGCTGTAATATATTATTCTAGCACCCCTTGTTGTCGGCTTTCCCGTTATTGTTTCACTTGCATTTTATCTTTAAGATCTCAGCCAGGTTAAATGTGCTTTCTTGTTTTACGCAGCTACTTAAAGGCATCGCACTGCAGCACTGCCCCACCTATCCCAGCTGTGCATCTTTTATTATCATCTGGTGACAACTGAGTTATCTTCCATTTTGCAAAGCAACAACAACGTCCATCGATTTAAACGCCATTGTGCAAATATAACTGTTAATTGCTTATTGGTGATACTTATTCCCAAGCTGCTTTTTTATCTTAAAAACATTGCTCTCTGTGTAGGTGGGAGCTCATAGTATTTTATTCTGCGCACGCACGCGTGTGTGAGTGCGGGGGATGTTTATATACCTGGCAGGAAAACATCGTCCTGGGAATTGCTGTGGTTCATACATGGTCATCCCTCTTCTAATGGTGTGAGGGATTGTTTTCTTTTAAACAGGAGTCTATTAAACAGGCTCTGGTTGGAGAAATGTTATTTATACCATAGCTATTGGCTGCCGTCATGGCAGAGGATCGAGGAACCCAGCAATACCACGGGACGGTCCATTAAGACCTCTCATCCATTTGAAGTCTGGTTGTGTTTGTATTATCAACCTAATGTCCAGCTATATATGTAGTAATGACAGCACATAAGTCCTTACATGGGCTTTTCCGAATGTTTTTATGATTTCTTCAAGAAAACCCAAACTCCATCTACTGTAGAGGTCAGTGCTGCATTAGTGCTGCTGCTTGGTTCAGGTGCCGGTTGTGGCTTACAGTTGCAGCTCATTGGGGAATACTGATCTACAAAGTTTGCACAGGTAACGTTTTTCTGCTGAGAATCTCGGCACACTTCATGCTCTCCTCATACCACCACGCTTCCTTTAGTAAAAGAAAATTTTGTCAGCGCATTTGATGGGGATTCCAACTTAAATATTTTGAACAGTATAGCAGTAGAAACATTCTCTTCAGTTTTGGAGAAAGGGTTGACTTGTACCACCTCTTGAAGCTGCCAGAGGCCTGGAAAGATGCTAGCTGCTTACCCCTGCAGTGATTTCATTAGGAAAAGAATGCATCCAGACAGTGTGTTCTTTATGCTAATCTCAGATATCAGTACAATGAAGAAAACCGTTTATGGCTGATTTTTCTCTTAGTGGATTTTGAGTAACTTTCTTAGTTTAAGTAGGTGATAAGCTTTCATCTCTCTGATTCAAGAGACAATAGGCAGTGTCTTTTAAATTTTTGTACGTATCAAATATAGCAAAATACACTTTGACATGGGCTGCATGGTTTTGACACTGTAACTGATTAATCCCTTCTCCAAATTAATTGCTTTTACTTATTTTTTCATATTAACTTCAGTGTGGTTTTGTCAGCTTCTGTATTATGCTCCATGTAAGCATTCTGGATTTTTTTAATTATTTACTTGCTATGTTTTCTAAAAATGCATTCATCTTTTGTGCCTCTTCAAAATCTTTAAGCCACTTTGGACACTCAGTCGGGTGTGGGTTTGTTAGTCTTCAAGAAGCGCTGTGCAAGAGCACATTGTCTTACAAATATCTTATTATTAATGCAGCTAATGTTCGTAGCAAAGAGTGTTTTAATTCTGATGTTTATTCCTCAAGTGCAACTGCAGATTGTTACCTGAAGGTCTCGACTGCCTCTTGATACCTTTATTTAAATCTGTTTCTTTATCACTGCACAAAAATATGCTGGTTAATATCATGTGCAAGGAAATATACATGAGGAACGTCACAAAATGCGTTAGTCAGTGAGGCTGTTTGTGAGTGGACAGACAGGGGAGTTGCTGGTGGTGTTTAGCCATTTCTGATTTTGCAGGTGGTATCACAGATCACAGTTTAATTCAGAGGTAATGTCAGCAAGTGTTTTGGCTTCTTAAAACACCTGTTTGTAAGCTCTTCAAAAGAGAACCTCTATAGTTAGCAAATATCAGCAATGTTTTTAAGATCCTTTATTTTTTCAGTAGTAAAATAAAACCTTTAAAATCCTACCAGGTCTAGTGTAGGCTTCCTTTCTTCAGTTTAAGGATATGATTGATTTCCCACTTTGTATTCCTTTCTTACATCTCAGAACACGTGTGTTCCTTGCTCAGTGCTTATATACATTGAACTGTTCTTCCCAGGATATTTATCGACTTGAGGTTCAAGTCCGTTAAATGAATAAAAAATTGAAAAATGCTGTTTTTTTTTTTATTCATGGGTAGAATGAAATTGTTGCCATGTAAGATAGCCTTGCAGGACATCAGTCTGGTAGTACATAACATCAAAGCATAAGCAAAGGCAATTTCTGTTAATGCTTTTTTTTGAGCACTGTCAGACTACCTAAAGCAGAAAAACACTGAGTTTTCTAGATGTGACAGACAGTAAATCAGTTGTATATGTTTTTAACTTCATACTTCTTCAATGAAATCAGAATTGATTATTCTTTCTTTTCTGTAAACTTCAGGTTCTGGATGAGATTTCTGAAAATGGCATTAGGATTTATCAGCTCCCTGATGCAGATTCTGATGAAGATGAAGAGTTTAAAGAACAAACCAGAGTTTTAAAGGCAAGTTTCACTCCTGATTTATTATTTTATTGCAGTAGTCCTTTAAGCCTGCACTATGCTTGAAGGTACTCTATTCCTTTATAACGTGCTGAAAATTCAAGTTTTCTTTGGATTCTGACTCTGAGTTATAATCCTTTTTATTCCAGTCTTTACTTTGTCAGAGTTCCAAAAGTTGCATCATGACTTTCTTTTCTTTCCTCTTTTAAATGTAAGCAAGTCTTCACCAAGAACTGTGATTTGCAGTCTGTTTTCTGACTTGAACCTTTTAAGATACAAGCAAAGAGAGAATGTGTGTGTATTATGGTAACTGTATTAATTGACAACTTTCCTCTTGTTAGAGCCGATAGTAAAGGTTTTACTGCAGTAATTTCCTCTTTGTGCTGTGACACTTGCAAAGATGCATGAAGAATGTATCTGAAATTCTGTCTAGCTACTTTAATCTGTTTCTAAAGTATGCTTCTGTTGGCTGTTTTCCATGCATGATGTTATGTCAGATGACACATTATGCCCAAACTGTACTTCAACAACAGTCAAGTGTTCCTAAAGCAAAGCGTCATTTCCTTTTGTGACCCTGTTAAGACAAACTGATCCTAACAAAACCACAGGTGTTAATAATGAGACCTTGCATTGCCTACAATAGAATTTGCTGGTTTTCTGGTGTGGAAGGGTTTTCACCATTTCTTTCCCCCATCTCCCTGTCTCTTACTCAAGTCTTGGTGCTTTCTTTAGAAGAAAAACAAAACAAAACACAAATGAAGTAACCAGTCAGAAATCAAACCAGTGACTTGTTTTGCTCTGTCTCAACCAGGCTAGCATTCCCTTTGCTGTTATTGGATCAAATCAACTTATTGAGGTGAAAGGGAAAAAAATCAGAGGCCGTCTGTATCCCTGGGGAGTTGTTGAAGTTGAAAATCCAGAGCACAACGATTTCCTTAAACTGCGCACAATGCTGGTGTGAGTAATGGTAAAATTATCCCATCTCCTGTGGTGATGTAACTGTTACAGTGACTGGAGAGTTGTAAGAACATGAACTCTTTAATTCAGAACTAGCTCTGATGGCAGTGTACAGTGACTTTTTATCATCTGCCTGCCCCCCTGAGCTTGTTTTGCTGCTGTAACGCTCTTAATCTCTGACTTCAGAAAATATTTTCTGCATTTTTTATTGCTAGATATGTGTGATAGTGTTTATGCCTTATGTGAACTGATTTGATGGCTTAACATATAAATTTAAGTTTTCTTATAGTGCAGTGGATGAGGCAGAGAGGCTTTTAAAGTATTACTTGAAGTGATTGATTAAACTGTGAAGAGCATTCTGGAGGCAAAGCTCAGTTTTCTTGGCAGTATAGGGAATCCTGTGTTAAATATGATACCTCTCCCTGTTATTAATTTAGCTGATAGGGATGTTCTGCCTGTGTAGATGGTTTTAAGTGATTTTTATTTTTTTTAATGACATTTTGCTACTGTTGGCAATCGAATTCTGTTGTGTGTCTGATTTCGGTCTCTACTGGGCAGGGATTGCCCTCTGCTGGTCACTGGTAGCAAGCATTATTATTATTTTTTTAATATTGAAAATTGTTAGGCAATGTCAGCTGTTATGTGAGCCAAGGAGCTCCACCTAGTTCTCAGTTGCACATTATACTTAATAGCACTTAAGAGCCAGAAAGCACTTTAGGAATTAAAGTATCTTTCGGAATAACTGCCTTTGCAAGGTTCTTAACACTGCAAAGACTGGTATAAACAGCTCCTATAAAGTAATTAGCAAACAAAAGGACAGCGTATTTTGAGTCTTTGAAGACTATTGGTGGGAGGACACTTAAGTATGAGTTAAAAACCAATAAACATTAGAGTAGTGTTCTGGCTTGCTTTAAGGCAGGCTTGGTCTGTAAGGATTATTTTTCCAGTAAAATACATCCGTTACATAAAACAAAACCAGAAGATAAAAGGGTGTTTTTCTTCCCTTTGACAAGAAGGACAAAGTGTTCAATAGCCCTTTGCATGTTCTAGAACGCACATGCAGGACCTGCAGGAGGTGACCCAGGATTTGCACTACGAGAACTTCCGTTCGGAGAGGCTAAAACGAACTGGCAAGTAAGTCTGTGTGTGCCTTGGGGGCTCTGCTGCTTGAGAGTCTCTTCTTTTTCCACTGTGACACTGGAATAGCTCTTCCTCCTAAGTAATCCCACCTGTAACTAATTATGTCTCCTGAGATTTCAGTCTAAAGAGTTACTGAAATTTGTATGAAATGCCCGTCTTTAAGGGGAGTAATACGTAGTGAAGTGCAGTGCTCACAAACAGCTGTTCTTTGTTTTGTAGCCATTCGCCTTTCTCTATGCTTTTAATTGGAATGTGCATAGAGAAGTAGTGGGCTGCAAGCAAGATAGGTTTTCATTTAATGATGTCTGCTTGGAAAAAGAAAAAAACAACAAACCCCTCATGGGCACATTTTAATAGGCCCCAGCCTGTCTGATCAGGTAGGATGCTGCTTTTCCAGTTATTGCTGGACTGCCATGGTGGCTGTTCTCTTGCTCCTTCATGTAGAGCGAGAGAGAGAAGTTTAGACCAAACAATCTCTTTTTTGGTAATGTGTGTAGGTTTTTTGTAGGGTTTGGGGTTTGTTTTTTTTTTCTTCTTGGTTCAGCTTCTGTCCCTGGCAACTTAGCACAAAAAATCCACATCTACCTGTGCCGGGACTTTTTTGATAGCATCTTATTCTTGTCCCCACTTTACTTGTTCTTTAAGTATTCAGCCAAACATTTTTATCTTAAAGAAAAAAGAAAATAGCCTACACACCTTTTTAATGATTGATTTTGTACCATGTATAGATAGTGGAGGGAATCTCTTGTTTAGAGTAAATGGAAAAAATCCCCATAGCAGTGAAGAAATAACATTTTAAGAAATGGAGAGTGAATGGCAGGAGTCTATGAAGTAAAGATGGCAATTTACAAAGGGGAAGCATGGGTTTAAGAATGTCCTAGTTTCCTTGGGAAGCATGTATGGAAGCATGTAGACTTCTTGTTATATTAGCTGAAATATGAGCCTTTAATTTGTTCTTGGAGATGTTTACTTCTATATCTCATACATCAATGCGTTCTTTTGTTCAATAGGCCCGTTGAAGAAGAAGTGGTAGACAAGGATAGAATCCTCCAGCAGAAAGAGGCTGAGGTAGGAGGCAGCTTCTAAAACTGTTGTTCTTTAATATAACATGCCATGTTCCAATTTCAGTGCTCTACGTCAGCTACTGCCTACGGAGTGTAAGGCTGGAGTTGTGAGAAATGACAGACCTAATGTGAGCATACAATTTGCCCATGCAGAATGTTTTGTTTGTAGCCACTTCCGTACCGTGGATGGTAGGTAGCATGTGGGCTCTTGGTTGTAGACAGGGTATTTAACATTTCCAGTTTGTATGTTGATTTTTCTGTAAGGATAGTTGCTGTTTTTTAAGTATTGAATTCAGTTTGTTTCTCAGCTACATATACGGCTTTAAACGTAGTATGTTGGGGTAAACTGATAGTCTGATGTCATTTCAGATGTGCATGGCTTACTGCAGGCATGTTACCAGTAAATTTCTTCTTACGTCTTGGGCTGTGGAGTAGAAAAAGGTTGTTGAGTCTTAAAAATCCCATGATATAATTCATGCGCATGTTTTCGCATCTTAATCTTGGCTTGCAGCAAAATTCATAGCATTTCTGTTGTACCAGTCAGCTTAGGGGTTTGATGTGTTCAATCTCTGATTTCTTACTCTGGTTTCAAGTTGTTACTGGGCCTTTCAACTTAACGCTTTTATGCTAAAGTTCTAAAGATTCAGAGGCTTTTAGCCTAGTATTTAAATTGAAGTAGTACACTGCCAATGCTTATGACTGCTTGCATTGTGAAAACTTAAGACTTGCTGCCAATTGGAAGACAGTGTTTTTGCTGTTTATCCTTCTTTTATCCAATTCAGCTTGGATCTAAGTTCATAAATGGAGGAAGGCATGATTTTAAAGATCAATGCATACTTGCAATGATTTGGAGTAAGAAATAAAAAACAATACAAGCAGCTTTGTGCGTTTCTGAGGTGAAAGATTCAGGTTCCCGTACATGGTCATGTTTGGAATACAGTTACTTCAGTCTGTGCATTTCCTTTTTCCTTTAGAGCATCCATATTTAAAAATAGCTCACCCTGGTTAGCTATTGGCTAACCTTGGCATGTTGACATAAATAACAGCATTTTCTTAAAAGGACATGCAGAAGCAGCTAATTATCTCCGTAACTAATCGCTCATAATATGAATTACTGGAGATAAAATGAGCTGCACCTTTGTCACTGTACAGCTTCATTTCAGCAGCATGAGCACACCTGATGGCTGTGCACTTAGAGTGGAACTTCTGCAAGTGTTCTGCACACAGATTAACTGCCTCCCATCTACTGATGTGTGTGCAGACCAACAGTAGACCATCAGCTGGTAGCCAGCAATTCTGGATGCTTTGAAAAGGTCAAGAGCGTTGTCTGGAAATGTTTTGTAGTTTGGTTTTTTCCTCTTTTTTTCTAAATGCTTCCAAGATTCAGGCAGCAGACATAGAGAATTCGTCATAACTGTTTCTCCTGTTACTGAACTATGTAAATTGTACATGCCTAGTAGTGAAGTAGAAACTCTGGGATACTTGTAGCACTATTTGTCTTCAGGCTCGCATCTGAAAAAATTCTCTTATAACTATTTCCTTTGGGAAGGGTTGATACGGCAGGCACATTATTATAGACTGGTCTATTCTGGCCACTCAGTGAATCACAGAACATTAGGGATTGGAAGGGACCTCAAAAGATCATCTAGTCCAATCCCCCAATATGTATATATTGTATTTATATCTATATCTATATATATATCTATATATCTATATATGCATGTAATGTACTTTTTATATAATATAGCTAGAAGGATGAAGTCTTGAATTTCTTGGAGGAGAGTCTCTGAAAGTTTCCTCTGGGAGTAATAATTTCTGAATAACTGCTGCTGAAGTTGCAGAGGATTAGGTTAGAACTTGAAAAAGCAAATAGATTTTTAACTTCTGCATTCTATTGTCCCAAAGAGATCAAGAGGCTTTGCTGAATCTTCTGTAGATAAGCCAGTATGAAATCCCTTCATCTCCCTATCATCCCTGAGGTTCAGACTGGGAAAAGTCTGGGGAGGAAAGAGGCACAGAGGAAATGGGCTTGCATTCCATGGCCTTCGCAGAGAAAACAAATATCCATTTCCCCTCCTGTTTTGCATTCCCATCACTAACGGTGCTTGAAGTTCTATTTACAGTTTTGTGAGGTTTATATAACCTTGGAAGGAATGAATGCTTGGGCTAGTGCCAGGATCATCTTTATCAAGGCATCACTTTTGCTAAATGATCTTTTATTATGCCAAAGGGATGCGGTCCCCCGTTCAGCAATTTGGAATTGATAATCGTCATTTTGGGTTTATTGCTCAGTTTGGTTGTGCTTTTTGCTCATTTGCAAGTGATGCCCTGTTTTTTCTGAGGTGGGAAGTGAAAATAAGACTAAAGGTGTCCACGTTCCTTATGTGAGCAGTAAATATGCTGCGGTTTGGGTTAATTTGATGTTGTAGTCTAAATGGGCACAAACAGAAGAAAGTTTGTAGTGTGGTACCATATTCTTACTGCTCTGAAAATACCTTGTGATAAAAACATCTCAAAATTTTGAGAGGCAGTACTTCCAGGAAAATGTTAAGGCCACAATTACATGAAAACAGCAAGGAACAAGCTTCCTCTGATTTTTCCAGTGAGCTACCCTGAGGCTTTGGTCAAATTCCTTTGCTCTGCTGTTTTCAGTGGAGATGCTCAGCAGTAGGGTGAATATAGTAGAATTAACTGCAGTGTTGAAGTAGTTTTCTCTCTGTCCTTCTGCTTTCTGAATGTGTTTAACCCTTTGGCAGATGAGGAGAAGGACCCTGGTTTCGTCTGGGAGTCAGTGGGGGGCCAGCCTGCAGTGGGGGGGCTGCCAGGCTCAGCCAGCAGCAGCCCTGTGGGTAGGCGAGGACGTGGCAAACGTCTATGAGTAACTGCCTGCTATTGCAGGTATTTGTGTAAGTATTCTTTTGAAAGATAAGGTGATAACTTTTATGTGAAGACACGTCATGACCAGTGATGAGACAGGAATAGTCAGTATTCTGGGCAAAACATATAAAAGATGAAATCTTGCAGGTAAAGCAAAATGTTGTGTCGGTGGTTTTCCCTTAATGCTGTGGAGGCCGTTAGGAAGCTGTGTGGTTCACTTTTAACTTTGTAACCTTAACTCTCATTTTAAATGTTTGTTTCCTCTCTGTGTTGCTACAGCAGTGACTACACGTAGCTACCCAGTAGATACATGATAGTTTGAAGTACATTTTCGTCCTGAATTAAGTAAACTAAGTGGAGTTTAGATGAAGGTTAAATTTAATATTTTGATTTTTGCTCTCTGGGAATTCACGGGAATCGTGTGTTTTAACACATTTCCAAACATTGTTTCCTAGCATTCTTTTCATCACGTGCATTGGCCCTGTGCTCTCATGTTGTAGTATTCTTTCTTTAGGGGATGAATGCACTTTCCCTGCAGAATATAAGATTGTTGCTCTTGGAAGTGAGAGGGTTTACTGCTGAGCAAGATCAGAGTCACCGTGTGCCCTCGATGCTTGAAATCCCCAGCAGTGAAGGAAACACAGATGTTGATATGACATCGGTTTCAGTCCTCTGTGTGATCTTTTGCGTTCACCTTTAAGAGGGGAGGTTGTTTCTGTCTGTGCAGTAGATCTGGTAGGGTGAACACACACACGGGTTTTTTTAGTTTGCACTGCAGTGCATAGGAATGGTTCTTATGTCCTGCCCTCCGCTTGAAGAGGAGTTGTGGAAGAGGCTGACATGGTTACCACTTCAAGTACAGTACGGTTTGATCCTTCTTTTAGTTTTAGTTTTAAATTTAATTTTACACTCAAACTGACAGGATTTCTACTGAGCAAACTCTTTTCTCTCCAAGATATTTGTCTACATTCTAAGTTCAGTGATTACCTCTAACTTTAGCCCTGTAGATATGCAGCCAGGTTCTAGTGTGTGGTACCCATCCTTACTCACAGGTTTTCTGCTAACAATCCTGTTACAGAACTGATAGTTGTGAATTTGATGGGAGCTCTTGAGAAGCCACAGTTTTACAGCAGAAAGAAACCATTCTGGATTGTTTGCATATCAAATGCTCAACAAAAACTGAAACAAAGTGCGGACGCAGCCCAGGATGCAGTGAAAAAGCCAGGTGTGCTCAAGTACTTTGTTATTTTGGGATTGGTTTTTTTCTTTTTTTTTTTACCAACTTTCCTTATGAAAAGGAAAATTCAGTGGCTTCTAACCTATTAATGGCCATAGGAGACAACAGTGTGCCTGGTTTGGTTTGGTTTGACTTGTTTTAATCAGGCTTTGTGCCTGAAAGATTTTTCTATGGAATTATGCTAAAATAGGTTCCAAAACTTGCCATTATTTAGCTCATGGACGAGACTAACGCTTCACCAGTAGATCTCCAAAACACCACATGAAAATGGAAAAGGAAAAATCTTACAATCTTAATGTTAGAGCAGAGTCGGTCTCTTAGTGCTTTTGTCTGACTTTACATCTGAGTCATATGCAGCATCTGACTTCTTTCATCGCATGGGCATATTTTTATCAATTAATATTAACAAAATGCGAGACTCAGTGCTATATTTAAGTCTTAAAATATGATGATGGCTATTAACAGAATGCTGTGTTGGAGCAATCACCGTGATACATGTGCAGCAGTATCTTCCCTTGTGATTACTGAATGGTTTCTATTTTGAGAGTGTTTCATGGCTCAGCTTGGAGCGCTCTTGGGAAAGCTTAAGTAGGCGAGCTTCCAAAAAGCTGGTTTTATTCTGATGGTAAATCTACAGAGAGGCAGTTCAACAGACCAGGTGTCTTACATTTGTGCAAGTTGGTCTTTGAAACTTTTCTTGGACCGCGGAATCGAGGCAACTCGCATTTCTGAGACCCTGCGTTTTGTTTTTCCTCCTTCCTGCAGCATTATGCCATCTTTCCAATCAGCAGCTTTTCAAGTGTTCACAGAAAGATGTGGATGGGCACATAATAATCATTGCAGACTTAGCTGTATCTCCCACTGTTCTTGTGAATCTCCTTTTGTCGGAGTGCATCTATGCCGCAGTCACAGGAACCTGAATTAACCTCTACTGAACCTCTTATTCTTAAATTAACCTCTGCTGCAGCAGCAAGAGGATGAGTACCAGTATCTAAGCCAGCTAGTCTGGGGCAAGCTCTGTTATCTCTGACTGTGCTGCAATCTCTGCACCTCAGTTTCTAGCTCTTTCCCAGATCTGTATCTGAGGTCAGGCGAGGTGATAGAGGCACTGCAATTAATTTTTGCCTGTTCTGTGATGATTCTTTCTATTAAAAGAAAAAACCCAACCAAGCAAACAAACAAAACCAAACTACCAGCTCAATACATGTGGTCAAGCATTTATGGCACATTCTTTTAGACTGAATCTGATGGAGTAACCAGCATCACGATAGCTAATGTGGTTGACTGGATGAAAATACAGTGTAGCTGTTTTAACATAGCAGAGCTTTTTGAGTTGAAAGGTTTCTCTCCCCTCCCCCTTGCCAAAAGAAATGAAAGCAATTATCTACTTTTTCCTAAAGGAGAAAAAAACCTGGCTATATTAAAACCAACACAATTCTTAGAATAATGAAGACTTGCTCTACAAGCCTCAGATTATTACATGATCTCTAGTTTGAGATGGATTCATATTTTATACAGTGTGTATGGCAATCACAGCCTATTTCTTTTCCAGTTTGTAAGACAGGGCACTTGTAATTGTGTATCTGGAAGGAAATACTTAGTCATTTGTAAACCAAATCAGAGGCATCTGCATATACATTTTGAAAATCTGTATTAGTGTTTCTTAGTCTTTCTTAAGAACATTTGTTTAAATTAATAGTTTGGGTTTTGTTTTTTTTTTATTTTTAAAGAACGCATTATATGTAACTCTCCTTTCATGAGATGGAAATTAACTTACAAGTGTCATAAGAAAATGCCTTTAAGAAGAGTTATTTCCAGAAAAAGGTTGTTGTTTAGATTTAAAAACATAAGTGCTTAATACGTTTAGTCTGTGTTCCCAAATTTTGTAAACATCTTTCTGTTTGGCTGTTGAAGTCGTTTTTAAATAGTGGTTGCACCTTTGGCTGTTACTGTTGCTAAAAATTTGCAGTTACCTGGTTAGCCACAAGATGAGTATTCATAGATGATACTATGCTTTGAACCCTGGTATGGGAACTAAAGCAAGTACTCGCTCAAGCAGTATCTCTACACACAAAAGGCACCTTTTTACTGTAGATTAAATGTTAATTCAGAGGTCTGCAAGCTTCAAAAGATTTGGATTTTATTGCTTAATTTTCATTACAAGCATTCTTACAAGTGTCTTTTGTAAAAGTTAGATGTAATGCACTGAAGAATCTCAGATGGGAAACACAGCATTCAGTCATCAGTTAATCTAACATTTCCATCTGCACTCTACCGTGGAAGAAGAAGATTTAAAGTTTCCTGGATTTTGAATTCCTCGTGAAATTGTTTTACATGTGGATGTTTTTTCTCTTACAGCTGCGCCGCATGCAGGAGATGATTGCACAGATGCAAGCCCAAATGAGGATGAAGCCTGGTGATGATTAAGATGCTTAACATCTGGATGCATCAGGTATGATGCTTCTGACTTGTTTGCTCCTCTTGCATACGGTTTTCACAATGATTGTTGTTAATTTTGCACTTTGGACTTGCTTTTACAGTACTTACAGAAAAATGTAAATGGGTAGACCAGAAAAAAGGATCTATGCAGATGTTTCCTTTCCAGCTGTTTTTAAGACCTGTAAATGCTTATCTTCAGTGCCTTGGTTTTGGATCATCTGACTTTATTTTTGTTAGCAAAAGCTGCTCAGAAAATTAATTTGACTATCTAAATGAAAGTTAGGATGTTTTGGAGCATGTAGGCAACTGAATTTGTAGCAGTTTGGTTTTTTTCCAAAGAACCAAACTAAATTTTAGACAAACTGGCTCCATGCACTGAGTACAGACTCTCTTGATGTCGTATATGATGTCCTAGGTGGGATCAGAGGGAGCGGACTGAAAGAATTCTTGAAGTATTCTTCATTTCTTCAGAATGCAGGTGTTCAGGCATCGTTTTTCTTTTAAATGCAAGAATGAAAAATAGAAGGATATGAGCAGTCTTGTTGCTTAATACTTCAGTTTAATACTCCAGTTGTGATTGCTGGTCTGCTGGAATGTAAAGCTTGAATAAAATGGATTATATTATCCCTTATGACCTTGTGGCAGCTGCCAACATTCCAAGCCTAAAATAAGGAGATTTTTTTGTTGCCTTTATTTGAACCTTTAGTCTTCCTGTTTATATTAAAAAAGAAAAAGTCTCCTGAGGAATAAATTTATTCACTGGATTCCTATTTAAACAGAAGTTGATGGGTTTACTGATACGTGCACTGTGATCTTTGAATGAAGTAGTTAAGGGGAAAAAAGTAATTCAGACTCAGGTTTCTTACTGTCACAATTCCAAGTCTGGCAGATAGAGAAGCCTTCAGAGCACGTCTTCCAACTTCCATACTAAGATACATTTTCTCAGAGCTGAAAATGTAAACACTGACGATAATGTTGTGGCTGACCATACAGTTTACGAGATAACAGTGTCTGACATAAAGCTCTGACTTCCTCAGCCAGGAGCTGGTAATTATGCAGCCTGTTAAATATTTTAGTCTGAACTGAAGGTCCTAAGTTTTCGCGGTGACTTTGTTATCATATGGCCAAAATCTTGACCGCTTGTGAAAATGGTGCTTTGATGCAGGAAACCTTACATTGTGTAAGTTTTATTATAATTGTTTTTTTGCTGAGGGGCTTAATACTTTCTACGAGTTACAAATCACATTTAATCACATGGCATCCTTTAAACTGATACTCAGTAAGGAAAAAACACCCTAAATCTAATAGGCTTGCCCACAGTTGTTGCTTGCAGAGCACAGGATGGAAGATCATACAAATACACTCAAGAGTTCTTTCTTCAGTTCCTAGGTACTGGAGTTGCTGTGAGATCAGTACTTGAGGGCTGACAGGATGCAGTATTCCCCTCTAATGGTTAGCCAGTCATGGCACCGAATTCCCTGTGTTTCACAGCTTCTGTCAATGCCGAATATGGTATTTATAAAAACAAGCTGGGGCTTGGTTTGTCCCAGGCCGAATTTGCAGCCAGGGATACATAAATAAACAGAGTTCTGAGCATGCTCATGCGTGTCCAAGGGAAGTGTTATTTTGTAGATACTTTACACTGCTGATCTGAAATACATCTTGGACCGCTAAATGTGTTAAGCAGGAGAGCTTTGCAGATTTAATAAAGCATCCACATGATCTTGCGATTTAGTCTGAACTAAATCTGAAGAAGGTTAGTTGGTGTGAAAGACTGCATGTGAACAAATTTGAGTGACATCTTCATATGTGGAGGTCCTGCTGTTTCTTTGGAATCTGCGAAGCTGTATTTCTGCAGCTGCTATAGAAATCACATTATTTGACAGATTGCTTTTGGGAAATAAATTTGAACTTCTTTTTTGATACCCTTGATGTATCAATTGATAGACTTTTAGGGTAATTTTGTGGCTAATATGTACAGCCACAACCAGAGTGTTGTCAGCATGCTGAGGTGAATCCTCACCTAGAACTTAGCCTTCGGGAAGCCTCTCTCGTGCATGTTAACTGTCTGTGCAGTTTAGGAGGAATGATGATTTCAGCCTCCAGCATTCCCATCAGATTTATTTGCTGTATTTTATTGAACTCACTATTTCCAGAGAAACCACAACATTTGTCATTAACGCAGTAGTTAACAGGACCAAACTGCCAACAAATTTAAATATAATTGATAGCTATCTTTTTGTTCTATCACAGCTTATCTTGAGCATCTCTCAGGTTCTGGTTTTACAAGAACTTTAAAGTATCAGCTCTGCTACTGAAAGCACAGCCTGTCCTCCAGTTGCTCTTTTGCACCCTTACTTATCTTCGTGCTAAGAAAAACATGTAACTTTGTAGATAATTTGTGTAAAAAAGTAACATTTTCACTCTTTTTATTTTGGGTAAGTGTGTACTTACTTATTTTCTTCAGAAGTCCCTTAAAAATATTTTCCCCTTCATAAAGCACAGTTATAAAGACGTTTTCAGATATTGTGGAAAAAGAGAAGTATGGTGTAAATACCCTCATAGATAAGAGTTGAAGAGTAAACAGTAGGATAATGAATTATTATAATATCCAGATATGTGAAATACCCATTTCTGATTTCAGATGTATTTTGGGATAGGAGAGGATTACTGAATGCTTTGGGGTTTTCTGGAAAGAGTCTGGCATTGCATAATGATCAAGAAGTGCTACACTCAAATCCTTGCCAAAAAGACTGGCAAGTCTGTATTATCATAAAGTGCTACACAGATGGGATGACTGGAAAGTCTGGTTTGCCTGATCCCTTTGAATAGGGGCATCTTTAAAGGTTTTATGGAACGAGCAAAGGGAGAATTTACGTCAAGCAGTTTCCTTTACTTTCAAGGCTAGACTAAAAGAAGCATAAAGGGAGTGACAAAGGCAAAGAACATGCACAGGGAATATGCTCAGAGTTTCCAAAGAAGATGGACAGATTTTTTTGCTGTGGAGAAGCAGAAACCTGAAGGGGAATGAAGAAGAACACTGGTGGAGATGGGCTTAGAAGTAGGAAGGGAAGATGATTTTGGAAACAGCAGTGACCAGTGTGCCAGCTGCAACTTTTGACAAAAGCCTGTGGGTACAGACTTACTCTACCTGATGGTGGTGACTGAGAGCAGCCCTAACAAAGGTCTGTTGACCTACACTGATGTCTGTTTGCTCTAAGCATTTCATGGCTTCTCTGTACAAGGAGTGCATGTGGAGCTATGTTTGTCGCTGTGAAGCACAGTGAAGACTTCAAGAGAAGCTTGCTTTTTCAGATTTTTTTGCATCTAAAATGCCAGACGCTACTGTAAAGTGGAGGAGCTTATCGCTGCTTGTATTTGACAGTTCAAATTACACAGAATCCCAGACCGTTAGGGATTGGAAGGGACCTCCAAAGCTCATCCAGTCCAATCCCCCTGCTGGAGCAGGAACACCCAGATGAGGTTACACAGGAAGGCGTCCAGGCGGGTTTTGAATGTCTGCAGAGAAGGAGACTCCACAACCTCTCTGGGCAGCCTGGGCCCGGGCTCTGTCACCCTCACTGAGAAGAAGTTTCTTCTCAAATTGAAGTGGAACCTCCTGTGTTCCAGTTTGTGCCCATTACCCCTTGTCCTATCATTGTTTGTCCCCAAGAAGAGCCTGGCTCCATCCTCGTGACACTCACCCTTTAAATATTTATAAACATGAATGAGGTCTCCCCTCAGTCTCCTCTTCTGCAAACTAAAGAGCCCCAGCTCCCTCAGCCGCTCCTCATACGGGAGATGCTCCACTCCCTTATGCGGAAGGAGAGGAAGGAGATGGAGGGGTGGGGTAAGTGACCAATAGCTAAGCCACATTTAGTTTTATTTGGACACTCCAGTACAAAATGCTTTTGAAATAAGCCTGCAGTAATTCTGACAGCATATTTACTAGTTTCTGAACTTGTCCATCTCAGACTGCAAAAAGCTGGATTTTAATTTTTTTTTTCAAATTAAATGTTTATTGATGGGTGTTTCTTCCCTTTCCTTCTCTGTTTCTGAAAGTGTAGCTCTTTGCAATCTGTTTTCCGCTTGTTATTCTTACAAATCTGGATTGTCTCTCTTCTATTTAGCTTCAGGATTATACTGGGACAAACCAGTAACAGAAGCCAGGCTGTGGAAAACAAATATAGCCAGCTGGAAATGTAGTTATGGTTAGGGAAATGTGTTCAGGAAAAAAAACTCAAACCAAACAGCCCCAAAAACCCAAGCATATTACACTTAAAAGATCTGTAGGATCTTGAAAATTCTTTTAGTATAGCTCATGATTTCCACAAGTATTTTAAAGCCTCCTGAGCTCACTAACACTGTTCAGATTCTTGATAAGAACAGTGCTAAAGGCACCAAAGCTGCTGCTTTCTGCCGTTGAACTGACATCATTTAACAGAACAACACAGAGCATTGTCATAGCAACCAGCCTTCGAAAATGATGCTGCTGAATGCTGAATTGATCTGATGAGAAGTGTCATTTGAGGCAGGAAGAGATCGTGTTGTAGTTTTTGGCAGCTGAAATTGAGAGCCTAGAGAATGTGAAGCTTGGGTAAATTTGTAGTGTTTGGAACAACTGCCTGGCACTGCCAGTGGATGTTTCTCTGGCCAGAAAATAGCCTAGAAGAGCACCATCGTCCTCCAGCTCTTTTCAGCTCTTCTAACTATGGAGTTGTTCAGCAAACCCTGCATTGATGGGCTAGCAGAAATTTTTGTTTCCCTTAAAGAGCAGACTTCAGATAGAAATTGTTGCTTTTCCCCTGCTGCTGTACAGCTGAAGTGCTGAATTTGTGTGGCTCCATGGGACCGTGAAGTTAACTTGCATAGAAAAATGAGCAGGGTCCTCAAGGGCCACCCTGTAGCTGGTGCCTATCTGCCCTTGTGTATAACGTGCAGAGAGCTAGACAGACTTCGGATGAGAGACCTGTTATGGGTTTTAATCCTTGATGTATAGCACAATAATGCTTTCATCTGAGTTTGTTCATCTAAAAATAGTATCAGCAAAATGGTCTCCCCACCTTCCAAAAGCCAAAACACTCTCTACTTCACAGACTTAAAAACTTCTTTAAAAGCCTTTTTTGAAAACGTGAAACAGAAAATTAAAAAGATTGAAACGCCTAATAGCAAGCTTTTCTGATATTTCCACATAAGTGCCCAAACTGTGTCTCAATAAATTTTGTCAGTAAATGGATTAATACAAATTGGTTCCATTTTTGCTAATTGAGCCCAGAGAATATAAACCAGAGAGAATATAAAATTCCTAACAGGCCACTGCAGAAATCCTGTTTTGTGAGGAAATGTCAGGGGTTAGTGGAAATATATTGATTTGCTTTTCAGTAATTGTTGATTTGGGAAAGATGGAGTCCCCAGTGCAGCGGCTACAGCGGCATTCTCAAGTCTTGTGAATGCGTGCAGCGGCACCTCGCGCTCTGCCTCCCAGCGGCTTGGTTACCCAGGCGTGATCAAACGGACAGGTTCCACCTCTCCCAGTATCTCAGTGGCGCACTGGTGTATCCAGCACAGCTGCTGGATGCACAGGGGATGCAGGGGGTGAGGGGAGGTCCTTACTGCCAGAATTTCTTGGGCATTAGTGGGCCTGAGGAGCAGAGTACACAGGCCTGCCAGGTCCGTGCCAAAGCCTGATGTGGTCTTGCTGGGGACCTGTAAATGCCTCAGGCCACCTTTTGCTAAATAAACATCTTCAGAGGAACGTTTCTTCTAGTCCTGGAGCTTAGAGGCTGGTGTGTGTATGTGACTCAGTGGATATTAACCCTGTTCTCATATTGAATTAACTGATAAACGTTGGAAAGCAGTTCAAAGGCCAGTTTTGTAATGGTATATACTTGGCTGATGACGTTTGCTATGAGGAAGTATAAGGTGTTATTAGAGACTAGAAAAAGGAAAGGGAAAACTGGAAGCAACGAAGTCAACAGAGGATGACTGAAATATCAGAAACCCAAAATAGTAGGGGTGTGAGTGACAAAATGAGTCAGAACTAGTTAACAACGGGACATTGGTGTCATCCAGTGCTCTTACTCTTTTTGGAAAGATGCCGTTTCTCAAAGTTCGTGCTAATGATTGGACACTTAAAAGGGCTGTAGCTACAACATATAAAATGAGTGCTATTTGAAGAGGAGGAATTTAGGTCAGTGAGAAAATGTGACTGCTTATAAAGGAAACTTTTCTCAATTAGGAATTCAGAGGTGTACATGGAGAGATGGGAAGTCGCCCTGCACTGTGGTGGTGTTCTTAGAAACCGCTGAGAGGGAGGTAAACCCATTCCTTGCCAAGGTTTTTGAAACCTGTACAAATGTAGGATTCTGAGCTGCCTGACCATGTGTATCAGGATGCAGGTGTATGTAGTGCTAGTTACGGTGCTTACCGAGACAGTTGTATTTTAATGGCATACTGGAGAAATGTATCATCTTTCTTAGATGATGGTATGAATTCACATTGCAGATGGAGGCACTGATTAAAGCCATGTGTTGGTGGAAGGAGTATGGGGGACTGTACGGTTATTCTAATAAAACTGGAGATCTGATTTGTAAAGATTGGGATCAACCTAATGTATCATAAAATATTGTCTCATAAGGAGATTAGAAAGAAAGCAGAGAAGTGAATCCGCACTGAAATGCACCAGCCTACTTTGAACGTTCTACAAGCGTACAAAATGTGGGTATCGTGTTGCTAATGCTGGTAACATCAGTGCACAGCTGGGCTTCTAACACAGCCTTGGTGTTTATTGGAAATTCCAGTCTCTTTGTGAGTCTGAAACAAAAGTTACAGCTTCCTCTTGAGGAACCTTCTGTAGCAGACCAGAGTTAGGCAGGCAATGGCAGACATTTCATTTCTCTTTCATACTCGAAGTAGCAGCATAGCACAACAGGTTAATGGTGAATTTGGTCAGCTATGTATGGACTCTGGCTAAGCCTTAATGCTGGCTTGCTTGTTCTGGTTGCTGTGGGAAATTGCAGCCTCCTTAAAATGTTGTGTGTATAGAACAGCATTCCCACTGTGCAAATGACAAAGAGCAAAGGAGCTCATTGTCAGCTTTCCTTGCTCCGTATCCCAGACTGTGGTCTGGGTGAGCGTTGCACTGCGCTTTACAAGTGAGTTGACACAGTGTTTTCTAAGAGATTTATTTTTTTCCATCCAGATAAATGTTTAGATTAAGCTATTTTTTTTTCCTCTTGGGAATGAGCAGTTTTGAGACTGGAGAATCCAAGGTGCCTCCTGAGTTCAAAATCTGACACGGCTTCTTAAGCAGGGTCCGGTTTTCAGGGAAAGCTGGAATTCTGCTTTCTTTGTAGCAGTCTTTTCAAATGGCAAATGAGTAGAGACATCCCAAACTGGTAGTTATTTTGAAATTACAGACCAGTATCCCTTGTTTCATCCATATAAATACTGCTCTGTGAATGCTTGGAAAATTCTGTTTGCTTTACTGTTTTACCTAAGCAGTGTCATGAGAGTGTTTCAAACTTGCTGCTTGCTTTAGCCCTGTTTAAGTAAGTGGTTTTCGTTTTCCTCACCAGAAGTAATGCTTAATATAACAAGCTGAGGTTGGTTTCTTGTGTGCATTACTGTTGAGATAAGCTGTAATGCAGTCCTTGTACTCGTGCAGGCAGAGGGGAGTGTGGGTGCTTCAGAAAGTATGTAACTAAAAATAGGTTCTCATTTATGTGCTCTTATTAGACATTTATGATAAATATTTGGGGCCAAGCTGCATCTGAATGGGCTGATCTAGTTTGAATGCAGCTCTCTGGGATGCAGTAACTGAAATTTTGGGTCCCCTGGATTGCACTGCTTTGCTTGGAGGGGCCGAGTGCCCCAAACACCCTGACAGTGCTGAGAGTTTCTCCTTTCTAATGCTCTGTGTTTTCCGCTTTTGTTCGCAGCAGCGCACGGTTCTCTAAGTGGATGGGTGCTCTCTTTTCTTTGACCGAGCGGTAACGTTCAAATGCAAAAGCTGGATGCCGCAGATCAAGACCTGCGTTAAAACAGACACAGAGTCTGAAGATCGTGTTGTAAAATGGCTTGTTTTATATATCCAATGTTTATCAAGTGATATTGTATCTTTTTTGGATTCTTTTGGTAACACTGTCTTCATACTTCTAAATGTTTTATTATCCTTCCTATACCTTTTCATACAGAAACTGATAGAGTGCACTGTTTGGACTAGTCATTGTGATGGGTTTAAGGAGTTAATCGTGTATCTTCTGAACAGTTTTGTGATTAATACTAAAGGCTTTGTGGCTCGTTTACAGTAAACGTACGTGTGTTCGCGCAGTGTCATAGCTTCCACTTGCCATTTGAAGTCATTGTGTATCGTATCAGTTTCTCCTTACTATCTCTGTGCTTTGGTTGCTTTTGAAGCCTCATCGCTGGTGATTTATATTTGTGTGAAGTATCAGAAAATGCACAAACCACTGACGATTCACCAGTGATGCGAAGAAGCTGACTTTTCTAAATCACCGTGCCTTAACGTACCATCAACACTACGCGTGCCAGCAGCTTCGGTGGATGCCTCTGAAGATTTGTCTTCAGGTCTCAAGCATCGACTGCAAGAATTTCTGTCGCAGGCATTTTGATCTGTCAGCTGGGCCATGGCATGTACTGACCTTTTTATATACCATAACACTAATTTTCATCGAAGTTTTGTAATAAATTGTACCAATTGGAAAATGTTGAATTTTGGGGTGGTTTTTGTTGGTGGTGGTTTGGTTTTTTGGTTGTTTTTTTTTTCTTTTTCAATTGAATTATGAAATGTCGTAATGGCATCAAGCAGAGTTCATAATCAAAGGCATCATGATATTTACTGTGGGGAATGAAGGCATTTTCTAGAATTTGTCTACATACGAACTGCTTTGATTTAATTTCAAAACAACTTTAGAAGTGTTTTAACTGGAGGTTACGTAGCAAGACTTTGCATCCACTTTTTTTCCCTAAGTTAATCAGGCACCTACTGACATCTTTCAGGTGGATAAATACCTTGGAAAATCTGATTGCACACCTTAGTTTAGAAATTCATGAATGCTTCCTTTATGTCACTACTGAGTGGATAGGTCTCTTCTGTCTGCTTTTGTAGTCTTGCCTGTGTTGTGTATGTGTAAGCGTAAATTATTTTGCAAATGTGGGATTGAGACACTTTGTCTTCTGTACTAAATTGGAGTGTCTTTCATGTAACGATTAGCCCTGATTTTGCTGTCTAGCAATGAGTGTGTAATCAGGGCAGGATTAACAAATGATTTGCATCACAGGGATGCGTATTTGGCTTGTGTTTGGAGTTGAACTGCATAAAATGGACATTACATTGTTATCTCGGTGCCTGCTGTAAAGAAGTTGAAAGAAGAAATGGAGCGATGGATTTGCATTTGTACAAAGTCATTTCAGGTCTTACAAAGATGTGATTGTAGCATGTCTGTCAAGAGGCCAAGGTGAGAGATCTAACGGTAAACGTATTCTCATGAATTGTGTGCCATTACGTGCGCTGTTCGTGTCGTTTTTCTGCCAGAATTTTGCATCGTGTTTTGCAACCTTCTTAAAAGGATGGGCTGTCCATTTGTGCTTGTGAAATTCAGGACAGCCACAGCTGAGAAACCAAGGCTGTAGTTACATGCATTAGTTACATACTGGATGAGCTCTGTGAACAAAGGTAACATGAAAGGTTCATCCTTCAAAGCAAACTAGGACAATGGGAAAACAGGCTTTCAAAAGCATCTAGTCTTTAATTTTATTAAAAATGTACCTTTTTCCTCCCCTCTTTTCAAGGCAGGGCACCTAAAGTCACTGTCACAATTCTTGTGTGAAGCCTCAGTGAACAGATGTTCACTAGCAGATTCTGATCGATAAATTCTGCTCCCTCCTGGCTTGTGAATTCCAGCTGAAGTGTTTTTATGCCTTCTACCATTTGTCTGATGTTGTCTGGTATTAAACCTTCAGTTACCAGAACTTGCTTTTGTTAAAATATTTCGCAGCTTAATGGAGGAACCAGTATTTGTTAAGCCAAGTCTTTGCTACTGTGAAGATCTCTGGAGAGAGGACTCTGGCTCTGGCCAATTCCTGACCTTGCATTTCCACTCCCGTCTGCGTTGGCAGTGCCAGGACCGTGGACAACAAATCCCTTTTCCCGAATTCCACCCTGGCATTCTCTGGGCTGACACTTCCCAGCACTGGGTCAAAGTGCCTGCGTGTAACTTTTA